AGTGTGCCGGCCGAAGCTCTGCTAGGCTAATGCTCAGTGGCGAGAATCGATGCGATCCCGATCCCTTCACTTTCCCTCTATCCGTCGGTCTGTCTGATGTTCTCGTCTGAGGCATAGCCGTGCTGACGCTTCTGCCGCCGCCAATGCCGCCGAAACGCCGCCCTCCTCTGTCATGAACTGGTTCTTGCAGACGTTGGCTCAGCAGCTTTGTGCATGTGTCATCACGAAAATAAGGTGAGAAAACGGACGACGAGCGCCGGCCCGGCCCCTTACTAGGCCAGGAACGAAGCTACGCCATCAGCGCGCCCTCGCCGCTGCCTGCTACGTTTCTTCGGTCGCCTCAAAACACCCAGGCACCGGGGCTCATCTCCATCGTCATCGACACGTACGTACGCGTTTTTGTGACTATGCGCTGACAAGCAGGGGTGATGTGCTTTCGACGTTTCTCGTTTCCGATCAACAAGCTCTTCTGGGACGAGGCACAGTGACTCGGTTACGGTCATCAATCTGACCAGTTCATAATAAGCAGATAAGGTCCGAGCTTCAGGCGCCGGTCAAAAACTAAGCCGTTTCACAACCTTCATGTTTGTGAGTCGATATTATGATGACGATTGATTCCAGAGCATTTTCAGGTTCTGCGAATGTTACCTTTTCCGCCTTTCTATCTTCATCGTGACTCCTGTCGCTGGTTCCCATCTTGACCCCTGCTGTTTACCAGCCATTAAAATGAGCATCATGTCGGCCTACCGGCGTTTGTATGCCCTGAAATTCTCACTCCCTGTCTTTTGGAAGTCGCCTAATCGACCTGCGATAACGCGTGTCTACATGTGCGCGAATGATTTCCTCCGTGCACCTCAGGGTCTGACGCAATGACCGTTTGACTCAATCTGACCATTTTTATTTCGGCACATCAACGGTGAGAAACGGGTAGTCCTGTGGCCAAGGGCTTCGGCAGATAGCTGACAGCTCCAAGACTGCTTCGAGTTCATTTAGGTCGCTCCCATGTTGCGACCAACGGCACCAATGTTCTTCCTTTCATCGTTTTCAGCCCTCCACTGTTTTACCCTGCGTGTTGAGTTCGATGTTTCACGAGGTCTGCTGATCGAGCTCATGAAAATAGACCCCTTAAAGAGCCTCTCTACATCCTCTATGCAAATCCTCGTCACTTTAAAGCGGACGATCGACGATCGGTGAGAAATCGGTTTAGATTAAACGAGCCACTGACCACATGCACTTTCCGGTGGGTCTTTCGATGGAAGATAATTTTAACTTATTTGCTACAAGAATATTTCATTGTTTGCGCAATAGCGAAGTGCTGAAACGTAGTTAGGCACCGCCTACTATAGGAGTAAGCATGACGTGACTTAAGATCCTGTGGTCCCATAAGGTTAGCGTTTAGGCACGTGATTTTGCCTCAACTGGACATCTGGCCTTGAGTATATTTTTAGTCGCGGAATTACCGTTGATCCATTTTCTACCAAATGCTATGCGGTGCGTAAACAGAACCGACCTTAAGCATAAACAGACGATAGGTAACGATTAAAAAACACGTGATGGAAGAAGCGTTACGTTATGAGAAACTTCCGCTCAAATGCTGCAGCGGAAGAGAAGAAAACAAGCAAGTGATCTACATGTTTTTGTCCATAAAGCCGAAGTTCTTGTTTGGTCGAAGTGACGCCCAGCTTTGACTCTCACGCTTTATCGACCGTCGAAGCAAAGGGAGGGTAAAATCACGAACCGCCAAAATAAATCAATAATAAATTTTTCGAACAGATCAAAATGCATACTTCGCTTTCGACACAAAGATAGACCGAACGTTTCGACTAAATTCAACTAATTCACTGCCGTTTAAGCATGATAATTTAGGCTCAGCACGATTCAATGCTTTGACCTCGGAGCCGAGAGCCTAACTCGAGCTTTAACACTCAGAAAGGACAATACGTCCAACAGCTGTTCTTAAAGAAACGCATCTTTGCATAAAATTTTCTAATATTCTAATATTCTTTATTAAAATAAACCAAATTTACTCTCCATTGTCGAAACTTTCGGATTTGCTTTAGTTAGGTGACTGGCTTTCATCGATATGTTTAGTAAGTGTTCCATAAATGAGGATGCCTTACTTATTTGCTCACTGTTTGCTGCTTGTCCAATCAGAAACTTCTTCTTATCTGACCATTGC